AAGGTTGTATTTGATTTTGTATAATAGTGTTAGGTCATAAAGTTCACGCCTGTGTTCAAGTGGGAGAAAGTTTAGGGATATTAGTCTGTCTCTGTAGGTAACATCACGAGAAGGGTAGTTCAGAATGAATTTCGTTGCTCTGCGTTGAACGTTCTCTATTAATTAACGTTGTTTAGCCGAGTAAGGTGACCACACACACGACGCGTACTCAAACTTAGGTCGTACAACAGCACAATAGAGAAGCTTCCGCGACTCTTTGTGTTAAAGGTATGGAAACTACTACAACAAGGAATGATTACGTAAATAAATACCCCTCTAATTTACAAATAACATCGTATAACTTCCCATCCACTACTACAACTGGGGAGGTTTGTGCCGGAGTGGTTAAAGCACCAGGTGTTCATGCAAAAAACGCAGCACAACATTACGCAGATCTTCAGATGCTAGAAGAGAACGAAGAAACACGCGAAGTATTTTGGAACAGTGAAACCCAAGAACGAAAAGAAATTGAATGTGCTCGAGTTGACGGAAGTTTTGACGATGGTCCGTCCCATTGCGAGGTTCAATATTGGTGGACGGTTCGTCACCTTGTAACCAGTTGCCAAATGACGTTAGTAACGTCTAGAAACAGTGGTGCGAGCTATAGGAACCGCGTAGAGCTGCAAAATGGCAGTCTTGCCCTAGGTCATGCTAAACTTTTTATTCCTTCAACTCTTAATGGCTCCTGTATTAGTGGTGGAAACATTGACAACGATTTGCTGCGTAAAAATTTGGATGCTGCTATAAATGTATATATATCAAGAGTTAATAAAACTCCCTGTTGTGCTGGAACAGTTATTAATCTATACAAGGGAGCAGACAGTAAAGCATACCAGGAGGAAAATGATTTTTTTAAAATTTTCTTGAAAGGAAAGAAAGAAGAAAGGGAAAAGCAAAAGAAAGATCATCCTGAGAAATATGCTCGTGCTCAAGCGATTTGGAATCTACGAAAACGACATATGAGAACAGATGTTCCATTAAAGTATATTTTTTGCCTGAGCTGTTGCTACCAACCTGACTGTGAACATTCTTTGTGTCGTAAAGGTAAGCCTACTGAAGAACCCACATGGTATGTTGGTGGCCCACTCTTGTCTTTCCTACCTGTGCCTTGTCCTGATCCTGAACGTTGCTATGGCAGTGAACAATGCAGTGAATGTAATGGTGCTTGCTACGGCCATTACCTAAAGTTAGATGAACTTTGGAAGTATAAATAATTTTGTGTTTTTAATTTAAATCAAGGATTACACAAGAGGTTTTTGATAATACTTTTATTTTAGCTACGTTTCAGATAGTTTACTATCCGTCCTCAGGCTAACAAATTGTTCTTACATTTGAAGTATACTTCCGAAGTAAGTGATGTGAAATGTTGCCTGCCATCAGAAGTTATTTTAGCAGAATATGACAAACATCGAAAAGAAGCCATTTCCATGCACGGGATACTTGATGATAATTGTGTACAAGATCTTGCTAAACAAACTTTGCTCTCTCCTGAAGAAGTAACTATGTGGCTCAGTCATTTGAACACAATTGCAGAAAATAGAAAGAAAGGTGCAGAGAAAGCAGCCGAAACACGTAGAGCAAGAAAGGAAGCATCAAAGAAACTGATAGATTTACCGAATGGAGATGACTCCGAGGTGTGCGATGTTTGTAAGTTAGAAGACCCGGCTGAGGGGGGTGAAGAAATAGTTCCTTGGGTTTGTTGCGACGGTTGTTCACAGTGGAGCCACATTGTGTGTGTTGGTATTGAGACTGAACTTGAAATTCCAAATCATTGGCAGTGTTTTAAATGTTCTGAGAAGTGGGAATAGATTAGATGAACTCAGAATAAGATTTTTATTAAACATGTCACTTTGTGTGTGTTGGTATTGAGACTGAACTTGAAATTCCAAACCATTAACAGTGTTTTAAATGTTATGAGAACTCATACGATAAGATTTATATTAAACCTGCATTTTGAACTGTTAATTATGACTTAAGTTCCGTTCACACCGGACGCGATGCGGCAACGCGACGCGATTTTTAAGATTCTATAAAAAGTAAATACTGTAGCAACGTCTATCAAAGGAAACTTTAAGACCTCGTTTACACTATGTCGGATTCGCATGTCACGACATGCATCTTATTTATCAGTCGATCAAGGCAATATACCTCAAGATTCTATATGGTATTAAAGCGACGAACTAAACTAAACTGTCAAGCAGTGAATCTTTGCAGTCAGGTTTTTGTCTCCAAACGACAAACGACGATCTCGTGACGAGTGCAAACGGGCCCAACAGCGCTTATGAATATTTGAAAAACTTAAACCAGGATCAAAGATATTTGTTCATGAAAATTAGAAAATAGCGTAGCGTTGTAGCATCGCCTCCAGTGTGAACGGACCGTTAATATGTTCATGTCAATTCATATTATTAAAAATCATTTTTCTTTGTTTTGCTCGATGTTTATTAGTAAATTGGTGTTTTTAAAAAGCTTAAAATATGTGGCTCTTCTCCCGTGGGTGGGGAAAGTTACCTTTATTTGACCGGAATTTTCATCCCCCCCTGCGGGCATTTGATTAGTTTTCTCATATTTTTGTCAAATCCCCTCCCTAGTCCCGGCCTCCCCCCCCCACCACGGGATTTACATTGATAGGTGCATAATTACTAAACTTTTCATGAGCATATAATCTATTAAGATATGATGGTCTGGACTCCCGGCAAACTTCAAAGCCACAAAATAGAAGACCTTTGATTGATGTTGAACTGTCAGTACCTCACCGTGCACAATTACAAATAATTTGTCTCAAGTCTCAACTTCATTAAATATTATTTATCGTGGTTGCATCAGCTATCCCTATTGGACGGTTGCTTAATTATACGAAAATACAATGAGCTCAATCACGTGACCGTGCACAAATTAACATAAACTCAGACAAAAACATATAACAAACACTTCTGTTTAGTTTCCAGACCAGCGGCGGCGGAACAGATTTCGTTCTGGGGGGGGCTAAATTTTTTCGGCGACCCCCCCCCCAAAAAAATTTTTTTTCGGAAATACACTTTTTTTAAACAAAATATTGCAAATTTGTCCCCTTATACCTAAATTTTCAAAAAATAACCTAAATTTTTCCCTAATTATAAATTTTTTTTCAAAAAATTCAAATTTTCTGGGGGGGCTAAGCCCCACCACTTTTACTTCTGGGGGGGCTTTAGCCCCCCTAGCCCCCCCTGTTCCGCCGCCCCTGTTCCAGACCATCAAATCTTGATAGACTATGATAAACATGCAGACACTTTTGTATGTAGCTTTTTGTAACAGGCACACATTGACACGGACTTTATACAAAGTTGCCAATGTGCTGGTATCCCGTGGTTCAAACTGCCACCTTGACCGACCGACAGTTATAATATTCTATTAAAGTTTAACTATATATGTAAAATTTAACTATATATGTTCAATATAAAAGTTTGATCAACTTAAAATAGGAATTGTTATATATAACTATAACTAACAATGGTAGCATGCAATAATAATAATAATGGGCATTCTCCGACGTACAACTATTTAAATTATATATAATGCTGTAATATATTGGCAGTGCGCGGAGATAATCAGTAAACAGCGATATTCAGGCATTTTTTTATCTGAAAGTGGGTCATTCCCGAAAATGTCCATAGTGCACAGCTTGAAATAACGTTCAAAAATTGTCTGGAAAATGTCCGATCAAAATAAAAATTTGATCGGAAATTTTCAAATTTCGTTGGACATTTTTTGGTTTCATTTCATAAATCACAAGTTTTAACTCCCTCGCTCGAAATGTCGAAGACGATGTTCCGTTTATATTTTAGGTTGTTATATCTCTCTCACACCACAGCTGTCTCTCAATAAATGATATTTTATACCAGGCACTATACTGACGTAGTTAAATTTAACTTAAAATCAGTGATCGAATGCAGTTTCAGGCTGACACATTCCTTCAAGAAAACTGATAGCTATTTTTTGTTCAAACAAAATATCCGTCCAATTTACCCTTAATTTGGTCGGAGAACCTGTAATTTTGTCAGAAAATGTCCGATGTCCGAACGTTATTTCAGGCTCAGATACTGTACCTTCGCCGAAGACCCACAGACAAAATTGGAAGTTAACCCCACACCCGCTACACCGGTCCCAATACACTTACACTACTATACTGTATTATCATAAAAATATTTCCCCCCTCGCTCTCCAGTCACATAGACCCTCAGAAGAATTTAAACTGGAGTCGAAGCCTTTACCAAGCAGGAGAAGTTTTAAAGCATGCAAATACATGATGGTTAGCAGTTTGCCAGTTTCTGACCGGTATAAACTTCGTGTGAGTGTGATCCATATTATAATGTATCAAGGCTGATTCCTGACCACCACCCCAACCCCGCCTCTAACCCCTTCCCAGCCTGATGTAGATATCACTTAAGTTATATAGAGCAAAATGAGCTCTAATTATATCTACCTTCTGGGCACCACGTGCAATCCGCGTGTAATGAGCCTGCCACGCAGGCTACGTGTACTGTTACGTAACAAAAATATGGTTTACTCATTTACATAACATTTGATTACTTGAGAAGTATTATTTAGAGGAAGCGCCTACATCTTGTGTTTCCAGTGAAGAAAGAATAGACAGGTTTGTACTCAGCCTTGAGCAAACACAAAGCATGTTTGGGTCTTGGGGAAGACTTAACAATAGTCAATAGACCAAGTTATTATTCAATTCTGTTTATTAATCCCCATTCTTATCCCTTCCTCGATTTATTCACAACCCGGCTGGAAATTGTCATGTAAACACAGGGTGAAAGTTAGCTTGGCTAAGTGGACCAGTACTACATGACACTACCGTAGGTTTAGTTCCTGTATTCATTCATTCTCATAGAAAGTATTGATGAAGAACCGATTTTGATTTCCCTTTCGATATAAGTTGAATTTTAACGCAATCGAATACGATATTTGAGAAGCAAAGAGCCTAAGTGTTTGCTGTCGACACAGTATCCAAGTATTTCAAAAATTCGTATCAGCGACAAACACAATTATGTGACTAACAAATTTAAGGACTATGATAGAATTCATAGTCTATGAAGTATGTTTATCTACAAAACTAAAAAATCACGAATTGAGTTCTGTACACCAGAATTTGGTATATACCTGTATCAGCATACTTATGCATCAGTCAATTCTAGCATTGCCCATCCCCCCGGGCAACCTCCGGGCATTTGCACTTTTTTCCTTTAAGTGGCAATGCCCCGCCCCCGGGAAAAAAAAAATGACAAATGCCCGGCCCAAGGGCACACTGACTTATTTATAGAACGTATTTTAGACCTCAAAACTTCCATAACAGTATTAGCTTCCTTGTATAAAAGCTACAGCAGTTATCCCAACTTTTGAACATGAAAAACGTGCTCGTCGGTTCAGTGGTTAATATACAATAACGTAGCAAAATAAACAAGGATTGTGCTATGGATTCTGGTGTTTTTATGCAAGATAGTCAAACACAACTTTAATTAGTTTCTCATGTGCGATTGGTGTGACGTTTTGTGAACGAAAATATCCTTGTTTTTACCCTCGAATCATCAATATTAATGAGCTTCGACGCCACTTCCCGGGACAATTCCCCGCCCCCGGGACAACTTTGCAAGTACCAATGCCCGGCCGCCGGGAAAAAAAAGGGGGGATGGGCAATGCTAGAATTGACTGATGCATTAGTATTTACTCACTGGACTTGGGTAAGTAGTATTTACTTACTGCTTTGCCAACGTCACCATTTAATGAAATATTCTTTTGCAGAACACAGCGTCATCATGATTGCAGAAATTGCTCTATCCCTGTTACTCGTCTGGTTGACGTGGAGCGTTGTGACCACCTACACGACGAGAAGTAAAATGCCTCCAGGTCCATTTCCCTACCCATTCGTCGGCAATTTTCCTCAAATGCTTTGTGATTCGGCTGATCCTTTCAGTAAACTTGCTGAGAAGTATGGCGATATTTACACTCTTTCCTTTCCTACTGGGAATACCGTGGTCTTAAATACCGCCTCGCTTGTGCGAGAAGCAAGATTGGGGAAAAAGGGAGGCGATTTTGTTGGGAAATCGCCGGAGTCTGTATATCCCTTCAATGAAATATTTGGTGACGATTTCATCACAATTGACTATTCACCCAAGTTTGTATTTCGAAGGAAAGCGTTCATCTCGGCATTGCACGCTTTTGAATCTAGTATGAAGCAAGGATTATCCGGAGATAATGCTCTTAACATCCTGCTCGAAGAGATTGAATCAAAAGGAAAAAAGCCTTTCTCTCTAGGAGAACTGATCCATGGTTCGATAGTTGCACAACTTTGGAAAATGATGACCACAAAGACAGTGTCTGTCAACGATCCAGTTGTAAATTCTATCACCGAGTTTGGGGAAATAGTTGGAAGACAGGCATTAAATGGTACAATTTATCAAACGATCCCATTTGTATCGCATTTGCCAAGCCAGTTCAGTCGAGATATCAAGCGAGCAGTGCAAATAAGGGACACAATAATTCCTCCAGAATTTAGGGCTCACCTTCAGACCTACCAGCCAGATGTGATTCGTGATTTGACCGATAGCTTAATCAGTGCATTCAAGAAAGAGATACTAAAAGAAAATGGTCAAGACGTTGGTTCCCTAGAAGATATTCCCGCCATAATGATGGATATATTTCAAGCAGGCTCTGGAACAACATCTTCTGCGCTTACGTGGTTTACCTTGTACATGGTGCTACATAAAAAAGTCCAAGAAAAAATTCAAAAGGAGCTGGATATCGTCGTGGGAAAAGATCGCTTGCCAACCTTGGATGATGCAAAGAATATGTCGTACTTACAAGCTGCACTTTGTGAAGTTTTAAGGATAGCAAGTGTTGTGCCATTGATCGGAACGAACGCAATTCGTGACACAACAATTGCTGGTTATCATATTCCGAAGGGTACGTTAGTTGCTCCGAATCTGATGCGAGTGCATCACGACGAAAGAGAGTGGCCCGAACATGACGTGTTCAAACCTGAACGGTTTCTCGATTCTGAAGAAAAGTTTGTCGGCTGGACGAAACTCCACGGATTCATGCCGTTCAGTGCTGGGCGTAGAGAATGCACGGGTCAGTCGTTGGCAAGGATCATGATGATTACATTCGCTTCAACGTTGTTGCATCGCTATGAGATTGTTTTGCCGGATGGTGCAAAGAAGCCGACTACGAAAATTCTTGCTGCTGCAATAATATTGCGTCCTCAAGATTTCAAAGTGGTGGTGAAGAAGCGATTTTGACTCCCAAATTGTTTAATGAATTGAATTTTATTTTGCTTTCTCGTTCGGATTATCGCGGAAATCAAAGATGACGTGAAAATGGCGAGGCATATCCATAAATGGGCATAGAGATTATAAATAACACTAGAGGAAAGCATCGAGTTTACAAAATGGGAACGCAGCTAATGGGAGGCAAATTCAAGTCCCGGATATAAAATCATGCTCTCATTGGCTGATTTGAAACTCGTTACCAATGGGAACACGAATACACATCCGGAACTTGAATTTGCCCTCCAATAGTCGCGTTCCTTTTTTTTACGGAATTAAGATCACAGTGCCTCCTCTAGTGTTATTTATAATCTCTATGTACATGGGCACAACACGCCATTTTCACGTCGTCTTTGACGTCCGCGTCTTCGATCTAAATCTCAAATATCTGTCTATTAATTACTGTTGCAACTCGCATCCAGAGCTCTGTCACGAAGCTGCTGCCGACGTTAATCCTACCGTCTATTTCGTCTTGATGACTAGTGAGCATTTGATATTAATTATTATAATATTAATTAACAAAGGCTTAATTAACATCTTCTTAGAACTATTTATCAGTTGTTGTTATTATGTTTTATTTCATCGTGTCTTCGAAATTTGTACAATGTTGTGCGATATTTTGTTTAATTGACACAATCTCGAAACCAGAGCCTGTAATCCTCTGTGGAGGCTTGCTGAGGCTCTGGGAAGCATTAACATTGAGAGCTTCCAACCTCATTCCCAGGCTCTTCCCTGCATCGCTGGTTTACATTTATTCCCAATCTTTTTCCCAGTCTCGTTTTCATACACTTTGTTTGTAAAATGAGATTTCAGTGGCTTACACCGACCGTCTTGTCTGTAGACGTGCTCCAAGGCAAATCTTTCGCGAACTGACTTGAGTTTTTGCAGAGTCTGTCGACTTTGTCCAGTTTTTTGCGGAGGTCAGTTTTATTTTTAATCAGTGAGCTTTATATATAACTGGAGCAAGAACTTCAGAAAATGACGAAAATTGACGTCCAAAAACTATGAAGGTCGTAAACAGTTATTATGCCATTTTTCCCGACTCGAGTTCTCCGCTCCAGACATGTGTCGAGCTCACTGTTAGATCTATATCCAGTTAATTATGAGATCAGTTCGTGTTTTTGTTTCAAACTGATCTCGTAACTAACTAGATAGACCTATGTTATTGAGATACCCTCGAAACACAAATCGACAAATGTGATAAACTTTTTAAAATCATACTATCTTTTATATTATTAAAATATCAATGTGATATTTCGATATGGTAATATGCATGCATCTAAATTATGCAGTGGATCTCCAGTGTATTGTCATTATCAGAAAGTGATCGAAACCTATGGGAACATTTCTGGGAACCTTTCAAGGAAATATTTATATGAGAAATTCTGCTCTTCAAAATGGCTTTATTCCAAGAATTTGGTAGGGCATACAGGATGTGTGAATGCTCTTGCATTTTCTAAAAATGGTGGAGAATTTCTTGTTTCAGGTACACAGTTGAGTATGGCATAATTTTGTCATTCAATTCTACTATATAGCTCAGTACAGTACGTGGCAGCTAGCGTCTATTTTGCAAGCTAGAATTAAAGTAGAAATTATTCAAGTTACTGCAATGCTGTAATATGGCTGTATTGTCTGCATACATGCAGAGCAATTAGTAGATTTTGCTCAGAAAATGGCAAATATGGTCAACTCTTATACTGCACACTACAGTCACTACTATAGCTCTTCTGTATTTGCTAATTGCTAAACACCATGAACCTACAGCTACAGTAATTCATTATAATCAGCCAACTAATATATCATAGTGTCAGGTAGTGCGCCTGAGGGCTGAAACCTTTATGAAATATTCGTATTGGTATTCCTAAGTATAGATTGAAACAGTGTGGATTATAACGTCTTGCTAGCGGCTATTTGGCGAACAAAAACACTAAGGGACCGGTCATAAAATATTTACTAGGGGGTGTGGAGGATATATTTGGGGGGTACGAAAAAACCCCAGAACCTCTTAGGGGGGTACGAAAAATACAGCAGAACCTCTAGGGGGGAGGCACCAAAATTAAAACGGAAAAAATTACATTTTATAATTATTTTTGAATATTGAATGTATTTGTGCCATGCAGATTTAAGTTTGGAATTGAAAGAATTGTTTTCCTATAATTATTTTTAAAACAACAAAAAGTATATATGTTTCAGTCTGACTCAATATCAGATGATATTAGTAGGGTTCAGTATCCGTGGAACTTTTGGAGTACAAATCTGATACATCTGAATTGTCAGTGCTAGCAAGCTCACACAGTTACACCATTAGAACCTGATGAGGAAGTGTCACATTGAATGGAAGCCAATTTTTTCTGTTTGAAATAAACCAAAAACAAATTTTTCAGTTCTTACTCTCAGCCCATCGCTGGTATGTCAGAATCAGAAAAGACTGTGACGAATCGGAGACTGCGGAAAATGTTGAGGATATGGTTACCACTGCAAGAAGTGGGAGTGTTATCACAAACTGGAGAGTTTCAAAATATAGATAAATGCAAGACAAATGTTAAAACAGAATTGATGATTGAAGGGAGGGGGGGGTATGAAAATTTGCACAATGGGGTTATGAATTTAAGTTTTCAATAGGTTTTTGGGAGGGTATGGAAATATGTACTTGAAATTTCATTTATCCTCCACCCCCCTCTAGTAATTACTTTATGACCGGTCCCTAAATGCATGGTCGATTATATTTTATTCTGTACAGACATGTTGACCGATGAGATAAAATATGCAGTTTTCATTTAAATTAAGTAATGTTCAAAAAGCATTCAAGAAAAAGAACACAAAACATATCTTAGCTTTGTTGTGATGGGCAACAAATTAAAGATTATGGTGCAGACATGCAGTACCAATTAGTTTATACATGTATACATGTATCAAACAATGCAGAAAACTCGAAAACAGTAAGGACCAAGAACTTTTCGGTTGCTTATTGATCATCGGGACTCAGCTTACCAAAAGTATAATTTGACATATGATATTGTTCATGTGGGATTATAGTGATCTACATGACCTGCAATCATATTGAATGTAACATGAAATTGTTATATAGCCTGTGACATTTGTCAGCTAGACCCGAGTGAATTGTTATAATTATGGTACACACTATAGGAATCTGAGTTTCCAATATGAATTCCTACAAGGAGTTGTAATTCCTATAGGAATTTCTATGGGAATAGAGTCCTGGCAGAATTGTAATTTAATCGGAGTTCCTTATATTTAGGAAACTGTGTTTCCAAATGAATTCTTACAGGAAATTGTGCAATTCCTATCAAATGACTTATTATTGGAATTTTTCATAATGGTTAACCCAACCAACTATAGGACCTCAGCTGCATGTACACAATGGCTGGGCTGGTTGCTATTAATTATTAATGAACTTGAAATGGGTCGAATTGTTTCAGAAACTGAGAAAAAATCCACCCTGCCCCCAAGGAGGAAATTTCTGCCATCCGGAGGGGAAGAGTCGAAAAATGTTTTCTGATAAAAACCTCTGGTATGTCGTAAGTGTATTAGGACATTCAAAGGTGCTAGAGGGGTTAAATTCCAATTTCCTGTGTGCATGGGGAGGTATGGCGATGTTTTCTTGGATAAAAATATAGTACGTATATCCCACATTAATTTGGATTGTATTTACTAATAATTATCCCAATGGATACTAGCTGAACTTTTGGTATCCATTATCGGATTATCCACATTTTTAATTAATCTAGTACAGGCCATCCCAAGAAGGATAAAAAGTAGGGATGAAAAAAATAAACTTATATATACTTTGTTTGACTAAATATCCATCAGATTGGTTTATTTTTTGTCACATGATCGCTTTTAGTATAAAAGAAGTATAAATTAAAGCTCAATCATGTAATTTTCCCGCCCCCCGCCAGTAAGTCCAGACAAAGGGCCTTCTCCTTACATTTTTCAGGTAGTTGCATGCATCCCTACCAACGAAAGCTTGTTCATGCCATATTATTTACCAGGCCTCGAATTTCCCTGAAATCAATCGACGGCAATGGCGTTAAAAATTGCCGTGAAACGTAGCAGCTGTCTACGGAAATTTTGGCAGTTTCCACGGCATTTTGAGACTAAAATAGTGATTTACGCATGATTTGATCAACATCTGAATTCAAGTATCAAAGTAGTAATGCACAGTGAAAAATTGCCGTCGTTGCCGCAATGATCCACGGCATTTTGTTCTCCCTCTACGGCAATTGCCGCGATAAAATTCGAGCCCTGTTATGTACTCAAGGGGAAAATGTTGGTTATATATATCAATCATTTAAGTTAAGCCAGAATGAGAATGTACCCGGCTAACTTATTGCATGTCCTCGACTCAATCTCTCTAAATGCCAGATGATTTTACTCATCAAGGCGAGTGCTGACCACTCAAAGGGTTAAATTACTGCATGTAGGTGGTGATGACAGAAAAGTATTAGTGTGGAGATTATGTGAAGCTGTGACAGGAAAGACAACACCAAGATGTCTAAAACAACAACATCAGTCAAACATATTCTGTGTTACTTTTGATCATGATAACAGGCACATCATAACGGCTGGTAAGTATTTAAGTTTGCACTGGAGTCGCGGTGAAATCACGTCAGGAACATTTTAAGGGAAATTCCAAATCACTGCCATTAGCATGCATGCACCTGTTTGTAAAATATAAAAATTCTAATTCAGTACCGGTAAGATAATGTCATGTTAATTAGTTAACCCGGCTGGCCATTAACTTGTGCCTAAATGTGCTGCCCTAATTTTATTATTTTGTATTTTAATATTCTGTCTAAATTTAATGTAGTACAGTGCGCCAGATGATTTTACTAATTCTCAAGGGGAGATCGAATCAGGGGAATCTCTGACAATTTTACACTTCATACATAATTATGCAGGGTCAAAATTGATGATATTCCATTCTGTAAAATTCCTGTGTGACAGAATAGCTATAGTAAACTTCATGCATGATCTCAGTATTGTGTTAATCTTTTTAGTTGAGTTGTTGCACATGCATTTGATAGATTCGTGTAAATGTATCAAAGTATTTGCTGCTGTATGTTTGTTTACTGACCTTTGAGAAGTTTTACAGTTTACATCACAATATATTGTCAGAGACACTGAACAACCTCACAGAGACATAAAAGAATACTTTGGACAGGATAATAAATTTCAAAATCTACTATAATTCTGGTTGTATAATAGAAGCAAATTATGAAAATTTTGACCCTGCTATGGGATATGGAACACTTGCCCAACAGGAGATAAATCTAATAGGACCTCAAATAAGTCTTCCATTAACTGGCTATTTTGCATTTTTAGGAAATGATGAAATAATTTTATACCATGACTTTGAAAGGTAATTTTTACTTTCCCTAGTGTGTCTAAATTAACCCAGACAATTTTACTTGTCAAATGGACAGTAGTTACTTGCAGACTATTTAGCCATGTACTGTACATTCTTTCATTATAAATATTTATCCTAGCTTGAGTTTTTATTTCTGCTCTATCTACATCTTTGAGTCTCTATATTTTGTTATTTTATGTACTTGTAATTGTCATAGACAGTACTGTACCGTAGCCAGGTGAACACCAAACGTGATTGGCTCTTTTGTGGTCACGTGGCTTTAGATAAATGCAATGTATCTCGCCGGGAACAAGTGAAAAATATATTAATTGTTGAAAATTTTATTTGTCAAAGATCAAAGTCTTACACATTTACTTTGTGGTTAAATTATTGCCGTTGCAGTGGTGAAGTTGTGAGAAGTTTTGAAGCCGAGGCCAATACAAACGAAGTATGCTTACATCCAGAGGACAATAATGTCTTTATTGCTGCAGAATCTTCATTTGGTGCAGTTACTCAGTTTGATCTACGCACACCTGCAGGTATGATTTCATCTGATAGCAAGCAAAGGGACTTTAAACAAAATGAGCGTATTCACCATAGGCTACAGGCCTGACATAACAACTCAGTGCAACCAGGGATAGATTTATTGGGGGTGCAGAAGAGGTGTGCATCCCTATTACCTTGCCAAAGGGGAGCTCGAGAAGGGTGCCAACTTCTTTATCATTTCGACTTTTCAATTTGGTGTGTAATTCCCTTAAATTGATTTAATTTTTTCTAGCCATTCTCTTTTGTTTTTGAAAAAGTGGCCAGAATTGGCAAAAAATAATTGCTAACCCCTTAACTTCTCCTTCATTTTTACCCACTTCAATTTGGAAAGGCAATATCTTTTTACCCTTTCTACAAGCAATTTCTAGGCTGCTAGGAGCAGCTAGTATTTCACTCGTTCGGCAAAATGTTGCTGCGTGTAGCGCCTAGTCAGTGATTACTGCACATGGCGATCGAAGGTGCACCCCAGACCATTCATGACCAAGGGTCAATAGACACTGCCCCCTCCCCTCCAAATCTGTCTGGATCCATGATCCCTGATTGAAACTTTATATACAGTAGCAACGGATCCAGTATTCCAGTGTACTGTAATACCAGACAATTTTCACTTTTTGTTTTTAAAGGCCATGTTACACGGTGCAATTTTTCTTGCAACTTGCAATGCAATTCTACTCTTGAGAGATGTAAATTGCCAAATACGAGTCTTCATTACACTCCCCTGATGTTTTCTCAACACATATATCGAAATTTCTTCACTGATTTCACTAATTCACATCTCTCAAGAGTAGAATTGCATTGCAAGTTGCAAGAAAACTGTGTAACATGGCCTTGAGCTTTTTAATTTCAAAAACTATTGTATGTTGGTGTGGTACAGTATAACGTAACTAACTGACTAGACTTGCCACAAGTCGACCTTGAACGAAACGGTCGACTTGTCATACTTGCAGGGTTTTCAATTGCATTTCGCGCTAAAAAATGTGAATAAGTTATTGGCTATCAATTAACAGGGGACTGAGTTGTCTAGTAATCGCATCATTATCTAATCGCATGTGCGTCATATTTCATATTTGTCACTTCCCTTTGGCTTTGCGAAGCAGTCATCCCCAATATAGGAACTAAATTGACCAAACTGCTAACTTGGTCTGACCAAATTGCTAACTTGGTCTTTCATAAGCGAGACCAACGGAACGACGACGAGAACCAACGACTTGTTATTTTCCGACAAGTACTCGAAAGTATGCGGAGCTAACTCAAAGGTTAAGCTTTTCCCATATCCTGTCTGTGCCGAAACGAACACATTTCTGCCAGATAGATAGGCTTCAATGGTCTGCCGTTGATACTCTTTCAACTCTAAATAGCCAGAAAACTGCTGTGCTTTTTCAATCCCCTTTGAAACCGAATTCTCCATTGCAAACACAGAAACCACAGACACAGTGTTGAAAGGCAGAACACGAAATACTGCGCAAGTTCCTTGTTTCCGGAAGCCTGTTTATAAATACGTCAACATGTCCCTTTCACGCTTCTCTGATTGGTTGAAGAGATCATCAACAAATGAATATACACAATATATATAGATCAGCGTTACTGACCCATTTTTGGGTCAGTAAAATTTGGCGCGCTGCAAGTATGACAAGTCGGCCTCTCGCGAGCGACTGTCTTCGTCGCTCGCGCTCGCTGCTCGCGTTTCGTTCGAGGGCGACTTGTGGCAAGTCTACTAACTGACCTATTCAATTGCCTAAAAGGGAAGGTTCAACGAGATGATAAGTCCCATGCAAGGCACCGCCACCTCCCTCAACAATTATAAAATTAAATAGAACACTATAATTTATTATTATTATTTAGCTTTGCCAACTAGGGCAGGGTCACCACAACAGCATATGCCAATTACTGTGGGCCCTTTTTACCTAACCCACCCTGTCAACTTTCCCTGTGGGAGGAAACCGGAGTACCCGGGGAAAACCCACGGCTTTCGGCAGAGCGTTGACTTTTACTCTTTTCACATGAGGACTGGGTTCGAGTCGCATTGAGAAGGTACTTAGTGAGACTCGAACCTGCAGCCTCAGAGGTGGAAGGCAAGTGCGCTAACCACTTGGCCACCGAAGCCCCTATATAAATCAATGAGTGCTAGTTATAAAGTAACATAGAGTAGAACAAGCGAACAGAAGTAGATGATGAATAGAAGGATAATCGGTATCTCGAAAAATAGAGTAAATTTGTGATTATAAATTTTAGTGATTTTACTCCAAATTTCCATGAAGTCACTGTGGGTGCATAGTTTACTCAAGTTTTTGGAGTCAAAATACTCAGGAATTTTTCCCGAGTATGTACTCTTCCACATGGGCCCACATGTACAAGGTGAAAAAAATTCATTGTTTTCTTTCTTTCTTTTTGTTTTAGAACAGACAGTACTCGCTGTTCCTTGGCCAGTTAAAACAACGCTGTCGTATTGGCCAAACATACCAAATTTTTCGTCAGCAAAATTCAACCCTGTAGATCCAAATTTGATCGCAACTGCTAATTTAAAAAATGGTGTGCAATTGTGGGATTCACGATTTCCTAAAAGGTTGTACATAAATTATTTACTTATTGTACAGTTAGGCTCCAAACAGACGAGCAAATTTTCTTTGAGAAGTTTCCTTGACATCTTTACCTCGCGTGTACGATCAACACGATTTCCTTGACCATAGTAGTACTTTTTGTGCACTTGGCATTTAATTGTACACGTCGAACATTTCTTGTCGAAAAACTGGCATGACTAGCTTTAGAACAAGACTCCTTGTTCAAAATTGTCAATATTTTGCCGTTCACACGAGCAAATAAAACTTGTCAAGGAATATTTGCTCTTCTGTATACGGGGCTTAAGAGAGCACTTGAACAGGTGGGAAAATTGACTGAGCATGCGCGAAAACTGCTCGGGTTTTCAAGCTAGTGATGGGCGATACCAGCTTTTTTGGTTTCGATACGATACCAGTCCGATACGATGAATTTTGGTCGATACCGATACCAAAATCGATACCGATACTCAATTTTTTCCATTTATTAAAAATAACTTTTAAAACAAGAACATTAATGTTAACAAGTCAAAGAATACTCTAACTTGAGTACCTGCCAAATAATCGAACGTAACATTTGCAATTATGATTTTAAATCTGGTGGAATTGTGTTAAAACTTTACAATTATAAAAGTTTAAGAAACCTAATGATTAACAATATTTACAATTACTAACAATAAAAGAATTCATAAACCGATCAGTTTTGGCCCTTGGAACGTTAAGTTGCCTTTTACGTCTCAGTTGGTATGAACAGTTATTTTCAGATGGTAGTAGAGGTCTGAGTTTGTGGGATTGATCTCGAGTGATCTCGTTAAACAGTTTGCACGTCAAGAGCTGCCTGCGTTCTTCGTTCTTCGTTCTTCGTTCTTCTTTCTTCTTCAGACCGCTTTCTTCGAGGGAATCAGTGTAAGGCATCCAAGGGTAGATTATTCTTAGAGCTCTCTTCTGCAGCCTTTCAATGTCGTCTGATAGGTACTTGGGTAGCGAGTTGTGATAAACTGGGCATGCATATTCAAAGATCGGGCGAATACAGGTAGTATAAAATTTCAGAAATTCCTTAGTTGGAATGGCTGCTCTTTTGAGTTGTCTCAAGAAATAGAAACGAGGTGCAGCCTTCTTGGTTGTTTCTGATACATGGAAGTTCCAGTTCTGATTTTGGAAGTTCCAGTTTCTGATACATGGAAGTTTCAGTTCCAATCAACGTGATAAAATATATTGCAAATTAGCTACATGTTTTTGTTTAATTAAGAACAGCGTCTTGTCAACATTTTTTGCCTTCAGTCTGTTGCCTTCATGAAGTATTACGCGATTGGTCAGCAATACTGACAAACAGCGCAGGCTCAAGTAGTATCGAATTACTGGATACTTTTTGCGAGTATCGAAAGTATCGATACTTTTGTAAGTATCGATGATTTCCATACTTTTTCGATAGTATCGCCCATCACTATTTCAAGCTCGAAACAAAGCTCGAAAGTGCACGCAGTCATGGACTCATGGTCGTCGTGAATGTGGGGTATAAATTCCATTTTCCCCACCCAAAACCTGGAATATTTATCTTGGGTAACGGTTTTCTTGATCCAGTGGGTGATCGGTTGGGTAACGGTTTTCTTGATCTACCTGGTAACCGTCGTATGATTTTTGTAGATGTTTGAGACACTTCGACTCCTCGGTTAAAGCTGGACGAGAAATTGCTATGAGTGTAGCGTTTGATCACACAGGCCGCTATATCGCTGCAGTACGAAAGACTCATCCTCCCGTGTTGTACCACATTGACAGAGATACTAGTCTAGCGGAGTTTTGTCAGAAAGGTTACGGTAATACAGTGACAAGAAAGTCTGTTTGTTTTGCTGGCCAGAAAGATGAGGTGCGTTGATCGCATATCATCAGACATTTATTTACACTCAATTTACATTCTCAAAATATTCTGGGACCGGTTGTTCGCTAATCCTCGTTTACAATTTAACCAGTTGTTTTAGAGGGTGCCGTTTATATGAGAGCCCTGCATAAAAGGCTATAGCTCACCACGTGTTTACATGAGAGTAATCGGTAGGCCTGGGGCTGACTTCTTTTCGCAAGCTGCACTTAATAATGGCTTCCGTGCAACTCATTATCTTCATTATGGCGTCCAAAATCATAGTTTTCGACTAAATTGTGGAATAAAAACCAACAAAAATTTGATTATTCGTTTAGAACTATAGCTTTAAAGGAAAAAAGCTTCAAAGAGTTTAGTTTAAAATCACTCAGCTCTCCTGGGAGGGCCAGCCCTCCCTACTGCGTTTATATGCGAAATTTCCAGCTTTACTAGGGGAGATCTCGCCTCGTCAATAGCGATATCTCAATGGAGAAATGTATTAGCAAGCGGAATCTCGGCCAGGAGGGCCAACCGCCCTTCATGTAAAGGCCATTTTCCATTGCAGTCCCTTTGCGCGGGTAGAGCGAACATTACTCAACTTTCTCTGTAGTTATCTATCCTGTGTATTTTTTGTCCGCCTGAATGCTCGCGGACACGCCATGAAAGTAGAACTACATTCAACTTTCTTGACGTGCCCGCGCAACTGATTTTTCACGTGATTAAAATTGATCGCTCCGCCCACGCGGGCAAAGCGACCACAATGGAAAATTGCCTTAAGGCTCATATAAACAGGGCCTAAGTTTATGTATTTCTGCCCGCTGTTTGTTTCAGCACTTCAAAGAAGAAAACTCCTACTAATCCAGACAAGATTTCTGAAAAAATATTTCCAAATTTATCAACCAACAGTTTGCTTTGAATTTTAGGTTAACCTATAGGGTTAAGCTAATCAGCTTGCCGACAACCGGCCACTGGTTAAAATTTTAATATTTCCTGGTTAACCTAGAAGTAACCCTGTTTATAGGTTCACTTCATATTCTCGCTGAAATTTCCTGGTTATTTTAACCTTTTAGTTTACTGCGAAGTTTGCCGTTTTTTCAGTCATTTTGTATTGCGCATGGGAAATTGAAACCGCTTTCTGAAAAAGGTATCAATTTCCCGTGTGTAATACAAAATGACTGAAAAACGGCAAACTTCGCAGTGCTATTTTATCCGCATTTTACAACATTTCGCAACGACACTTCGGAATATTATTAATTTTGTGATGCTCTTTCAAGCTGTGATGATAACTTGTCTAGATCAAAATTTTGTTCATTAGGGAATAGGTCCATTACGTGCATACAGGTACATGTTTGTCAACTTTTTCAAGATAAAATTTTGTTTAGCTAACGGAAAGGAACGGAAAGGTTAATATGTTAATGAAGACGACATCTGTATAGATTTACAGTCTAATGACTATGACTAGTTAAATTAATCAGATTAAGTTATGTTGGTGGATCAATAACCAGGGTCCCCTGGTTATTCCTCCGGCTAACATAGCGTGGTTAATTTAACCAGGACGTCCTGTTGACATATAACCAGATACCTCATGATCACATTAACCGGACTATAATAGGAAGTGAGATAAAATAACCAAGAAATTTAACAAGAAATATTAAGTTAGCCCGAATATGTAGGGTTATTTGTAGGTAAACCAGGAAATTTTTAACCAGTTGTTGTTAGAGTGTGCGTTTTATAATCATTTTTGGTTATTGTCTCGTACTTGAGCTGGTACACACTTAAGACTCACAAGGTGTACTTAGTCCTTAAAATGAAGTACATAAAGTACAGGTTTCTGAAAGGTATTGATTCAGTAACATGAAACAACGAGTTAGAACAAGAAGGATGAAAACTGCATACACAAACACTAGAATCGACTCATTCCTTAGGCTTACGCCCCTATTCTAAAAGCCTTCCTCGACTCATTCCTAGGCTTACGCCCGTATTCTAGGCTTACGCCCGTATTCGTACACTCACACTCAATAAGTGGGAGGTTCAATCTGAGCTTTTCTTGAGTGTCAATGCCGTTTTTGAATAGCTGGAGGGTGAGTAGTCACATAGAAGGTACGGCACTAACCCTGCAGCTATTCAAAAACAGCACTGACACTCAAGAGAAGCTCAGATTGAACCTCCACTCATTGAGTGTGAGTGCGAGTGAGCTTTTAGAATACGGGCGTTAGTCCCATCAGTCCAATAATTTTCTTGCCAAGACATATCAGACGTGCCCATATACTAGGCGTAATTACTGTTTGAATACATTGGGTTTTGTAAGGTTATATGGTACCAGCAAAATGTAAGTACGCAAATAGTGAGAGTTCCGCGTACCTCCAGACCGTAATTGCCGTACCTCCGCGGTACGTACCCTGATAATAATAGCGGTTACTTCAATTATTTTTCAGTTTATGATGACAGGCTCGGAGGATTTCAATGTGTACCTTTGGAAAGTTCCAAAGCTGGACAAAGATCATGTTGGCATTGCTAAAGTGGAACAGAGTTCTCTCGCGCTAGAGGGACATCGATCTATTGTCAATCAAGCTTGTTTCAACCGAGACACAGCCATGATCTGTTCCTCTGGAGTGGAGAAAATTATTAAAGTAAGTTTCATTATGTACAATATATTAATATTATATTATGGAAACAATATTTACAGTATTAACGTGCTCATGCAACAACATTTCACACCTTTTTGTATGATTGCATTGTAAAGAAAATTCAAAATGTCTAATAAGATATTTTGCCAAACTGCCTTCCCTTATTTCTTTCTTGAGTTATTTAAAGGGAAATGGCAACATATTTTATTTTGACGTCAGATTGCATAACTGAATAATATAAGGAATATTATGAAACAAGTAAGGAATAAGGTGAGAATTAAATTTTGGCAAGGACAGATAGGCTATAGCTAAACATACAGTAAGAAAAAGGTTCATTTATACCTTAGGGGTGGACAATGCCATGAGGCACATGTTTTTTGTTTGCGGCTATCATTGCTACCAGAAATGACGGCTCGAATTTTCATGTCGGGAACACTGTGATTGCTACTATTAAAATGTCTGGCAACAGGTTGGTTGGCTTCGCTACCAATGACAGCATGCCAATGTTCACCAAACCTTGTCCTCAAAAATCTTCCAGTTTTTCCGATATAAAGCATGGCACAATGCAATCGTAAAAAATTATCTGAAATTTCGTTGCATATATGCACTTCAAGTTGATTCAATATATATCCTGACTATTTCCATCTAGGATCCATACTCTCTATTGTCATGGTAATGATTTTGAAGAAAAATATTTAATTGTATATTCCTTGTTACTTATCTGTAGATGTGGAGTCCATTTCGAATGGTTGGTGGGATATCGGAGAATAAAGGGTTTGAGAAGAGACGATTGTACACTCACGACGAATACTATGGTATGCTAGATGCAAATTGGCCATACGATGACGACTCCACAAGCGAAGATGAACAAATGCTAGCAATGGTTGATCAATGGTTACTTAAGCCTCAGCGAAACATCTCAAATGACAGTGAATCTGATGATGAACCTCCCATAGAGCATGTAGGTGTTTTCGTTGATGGGATAAGGGAAGATAATTTATACATTAGTGAACATTTATATGATAGTGAAATAAGCCAATCGCCTGAAAGTACTGATGCTGGAAATACACAGAGCCCTGACAGAAATTCGGAGAATGATTGGAGTTTGGACAGAATTTCTGAGTTCGTTGAGAATCTTAGCAGAACTTCTGAGAATCCTAGAAGCGTAGACATAACTTTTGAGAATACTAGAAGCTCAGGCCCAATTTCTGGGAGCTTAGATGAACATTTGAGTGGCACGAGCTCGGACAGAAACTCGGAGAATTGTGAAAATGCAGACAGCAATTTTGAGTTATCCAATGGTGTTGGGTTGGAACGTTTACGAGAAATTATCTCTTCAGAAGATCACCCAAGGCATTCATTAGGGCGTATCGCGGAACTGCGTAGAAACTGTCTAAAGGATGACGATGAATAACCGTAAGTACCCCAAAAAGACGTCTTCTCTAAGGGCCTGTTTATATGAGTCCAGCTAACCCGGAAACTCACCTGAATGAAATCTGCATGCCGTTTGTTAAGATTCAATTTGTGTTCATACAATATATGAAAAACGAGTTGCCTGCCCGGCCAGGTGAGATCTCACTTTGCGCTAGGTGGGAATTCAATCAAGTGGGATAAAATCCCACCTGACCGGGATGGAAATTTTTTTCCGGTTTTATATAGCATAGCTGTATAATACAAACAGACATTAATAAAGTCGCAATACAAAGTGCAATTTGTATAAGTATAATAGGATGGTTTCGAGTGCAATTTAAATAAAACATGCGCGCGAGCGAGTTTTCAAAGACTATCAACATTGCACAAGTCCCAAGGATGAGCTAGTGTAATTTGAAGTCTTTGAAAAACTCACGAGTGTATGCTTTTTCAAATTGCACGAGAAACCATACTATTGCTTTATTTGCTTATTAATTAATAATATACATGAAAAAATGCTGGATATTGTTATCTTATTGGCTATTTTTGTTATTGTTTCATACATTTTAAGCCTGGCAATCAGAAAAAGTCAAATAGTCAATGAAATTTGCACTGTATTTCTTTTTTGTTGCACTGTATTTCATTTTTGGCACTGTATTTCGAAAACATTGCACATTCATGTATGTTATACAGTAGTTTAATTACAACAAAATGTATTTTGAAGACGCCTTGTTTACATATTGTTCTCCCAGGGATAGGTGCGATTTTCTTCTTCTGATGGCAGGGGTCGAAATTTAAAATTTTTTGTACTATACAGTCGGAATAGTAGATTTTTATATTTACTATTCCGTCTGAAGATCCACTATTCCTTAATGTACTGTTTCCGAGAGCCCGTTCATGCAGGGTCCGCGCTAGTGTTCTGATTTTCATGAAACTTGATCATCCGTGAGACTCCTAAAGTGAACTGAATAATTGAATAACAAAAAATAAAGCGCGTTGAAAAGTGACAGAGTGACTTGAAATGGACAATAATATTGCTGCAAAGAAATTAGAATACGCAAGTACTGCAAGCGAACAAGAACTTTGCTACGAAGTGGAACAGTGACTCAAAGTCCGGTATCAAGTGATATATTATACAAGAGGAAAACCCTTGCTTGTCAATATTTGGTACCACATTTTTTCTACTATACAAACGGAATACTGTGATCATAAAGTTTACTATTCCGTCAGGCATTTTAGTATATTCGGAATAGCGGAATAGCGGGAATTTCGACCCCTGGATGGATGTAAACGAGTGGATGAGCTATGAATCTTCAGATGAGGGCACACATACCCGGAACATTCGTCACTCATCTACTGGTTCACATCCATCAGAAGAAGAAAATCGCACTAGAAATCGCAGCTGTAAACGAGCCTTAAGTAGGATACAAAAATGCATATGAACACAAGAACAATTCACTCCCACTCAGCTGAGTTTCCCAACAAATCGGTCTAATATAAACAGGCCATAAAGGTCTGCTCGTGTGAGGCTACTTAACTTGGACACTTCACGTGCGGTATTCCAATGATATTTTATGGTGCATGTGAATAATTGCAGCTTTGTAAACACTGATTTATTATTATAATGTGAATGCTAACAGCATTTTTACACCCATATTAAAGTGTATTGAAAAACCAAAAACAATTATTGGGTGTACATGTCACGATTACTTTGGTGTGCACTAACACGAAAATAGCGTTCAATTTACATTAAATCGGTGTCTACAGAGCTGTAATGATTTACACCAATTTTGGAGTTGTGGCAACCACAGGAAGTTTAGAGTGCGGTCTCATGCGAACAGGAAAAATATTTGAAATGAAAAATGAAAAGCATTTGCGGCCCTCTCTTTTAAATCCAATGACAACAACAAATACGCGTGTTAAGAATTACTGATTGCAGGGTGTCCACAGGCCTTGAAAATCCTGGAAAGTCCTTGAATTTGAAAAAAAAATTCCTGGACTGGAAAGTCCTTGAAAATGAGTAGAAGTCCATGAAATCCTGGAATTAATCTCCTTGACCTCCAGCTGTGCCAACATTAGTCATTTTAATTAAGATTACTGAATTACTTGCTGGTTAAAGTCTAGAATCCGTGCCATTTTGAAAGATTTTTCCCAGTTCTAGGTCCTTCAATTTATGAAAAAGGGCCTTGAAAGTCCCGGAAAAGTTCTTGAATTTCATCTTCACCAAAGGGTGGACACCCTGTAATTGGCATAATACTACTTAATCTTTTTTATCTAAACCGTTTTGTTCATATATAACCGTGCATTTAATAATTGGGTAGCATTCAAAATATAACGGTAAATCACATTTGTTGAAGTCAATCAAATGTTTTAAAACTACACTGGATGATTTTAATAGAAGTTTACCGATGACAGCTTCAGTTTCTCGTCTAAAGGCGGATTTCCAGTCCTCGCATGAAGCTCCTCGCAGCTGGTTGCGAGTACTTGCATCTAATTAAAATTAACTATTTGGCATTGTGATTGGACGAAAGTGCTCATGCATGCACTCGCAGAGAGCTGCGAGGAGCTTCGTGCGAGGACTGGAAATACGCCTTAAGGCGGATTTCTTCGCCTTCACCACAGTGTTTTTGGCGGGAAAATTTGTAATGTTTGGAGAAGACAAAATAGCGCCGGTTTATACTTCGTGTCATCGAAGGGCATTTTTGTTCACAAGTACCCGCTTATTTTACGTTATAACGGCTGGATAGTTTTGGAAATTATAACTCAATGGACAGGGAAAACGATTCTGTAGTAAGAGAAAAATACGTCCAGTTTTACCAGTTTATATTGACTTTAATATGTTGTGATGTTATTTAATTAAATAATAATAATAGGTTTATTCAAAAACTTATTGCAGCAAATGCTGAATTACAAGTTAATACATAAATTATCAAGAATAACTATATCTTTAAAAATCTGTCAAGTTACATATTTTACATGTTAGAAGATATCAATATTTACAAGTTATAAAATTTAAAAATCTATCAGTATTTATGGAATTAGAACACTTAGATTCGCTTAAATGTCGTAAGTTATATTCATGATTTATCCCAACGCTGTTGTAATTGAAGAGTTTTTTAAGCGGACCAGATGATTTATTGTCTTTAGCAAACTTTTTACAAATCTCTTCTCGTCTTTTAATCAACGTTTGGAGACCAGCTTTCTGCAGCGATTCTTCATATGACGATCCAGGGTCAATTATTTTTAAGGCTCGCTTTTGGACTCTCTCAACTTTAGCTTTTAAGTAGTCCGGAATAGCAGACCAAAGAGGGGCAGCGTATATTCGAGGATTGGTCTGACTAAGCTGCAGTATACTGTTACAAGTTGTTGATACCCAATCCTTGCTCTCCGTAGTATACGCAGTATATAGAGTCTCTTATTAGCTTTCTTAGTAATATAGTCACAGTGTAGATTCCATGAGAGATCGTTATTCAAATAAACACCAAGTAACTTGTATGATGATACTCTTTCAATTGTATTCCCACCAACCTGTAATGCATCTTGGAATGGTAATCTGTACTGGAGAAAATTAATTATGATTTCTTTGCATTTCTTCGAGTTTAATCGCATGCCCCTTGTAGAGGCATAATCGTAGATGTCATTGACCAGCAAGGGAGTCACACTCAGTGAACATCTGGGGATAAATTCTATAGTTGTTAGGTCGTCCACGAATTTGATTCTGAAATTCCAATCACGAAGTAGACTATTTAACAGGACCGCAAATAGAATAGGGCCTAGTTTGGTACCTTGAGGTATACCTCCATTAAGACACTTAAACGAGGACATCTTATCGCGGAAGCGAATACATTGTTTCCTTCTCGTCAAAAAGGCTTGAATCCATCCCACTACAGCGGGTCGTACATTCAATTTCTCTAACTCAGCAACTAGGACACCATGATCAACTAAATCGAAACCTTTACTAAAGTCAGCGAAAAATACGCGAGGCGAGGAACCACCTCGGTCAAGGGTCTCCAGAACATTATGTAGTAAAAAGACTAATGCTTGTGTTGTAGGACGGCCTTTCATCGCGAATTGATATAGGTCAATCTGGTCGACCAGTAAGGGTTCCAAAGTAAAGCCTTCCATTATTTTGGCTATCTGCGGTGTCAGAGATATTGGACGAAGGTCATCCTCAATTGTCTTGGGCGGCATACACTTAGGTATTGGGGAGACAATTGATGACTTTAGTAATTCAGGGATTTTTCCTTGTCTCAAAGTACTGTTATAAATGTCAGAGTTGCATGTTTTATGCTTTTTGGTTCGAAATCCCGCATAATTTTTCAAGAATGACTGGCTTGTTTTCAGCTGGCGTTGAAATGAAACGATATCAACATTGATTAATATATGCCTCAGCAGGAAAATCGGAAAAGATAAGATAAAAACTTTATTTCAGGTTTCGTAACATCTTGCAATTTAACTGGTGGCCCTCAGGTGTAGTATCGCCTGATAGTAAGCTTGGATAATAACAAAGATCAAGACTGTGATGCATGGTATCCCCGCTCGTTTATTAACTGAAACCACAGATTGCTCTTTCACTCCTCAATACCTTAATAACAATATACCAATCCATAATTCAACCTTATTTCGATTATTGTGCTCAAGTGTGGGGTTGCTTAGGGAAAACATTAGCAGCTAAAGTCCAAAAATTACAAAACAGAGCGTTTCGAATAATCACTCGTGAGAATTATACGACACGATCGGCTGATATATTAAACAAGCTAAAAGTTCCGAACCTCGAAAAAAGAAGAATGCAACAACTTTCAATTCTCATGTACAAGGTGAAAAACAAATTGGTCCCCGATTACTTGTGTGATATGTTCACAAATGTTGGTGATGTACACGACCATAACACAAGACAGTCGGGAGCCGATTTGACATTGCCTAAACCAAAAACAAATAGTATGAAAAATGCATTCTCCTACAGAGGTGCGGAAGTCTGGAACTGCCTTCCTGCATCGGTAAAAGCATCAACAACTATTGCTAATTTTAAATCTAACTTGAAGCATGCAAATTAACATCAAGTGATCCTGCCATTGTTTCCATCTACCTAAAATAATTTTCTTGTAATTATTTCTTATTTCTGTTTGTGTGAGCACGGCCGGTTGGAAGATCACCTTTTTTTCTTTTTATATCTTGTACATAATTAATTTTAGTATAGGTGAAATTGTACCGTGTTGAAATATAGTTCATAATAATAATATTAATAATAAATCTCTACCTCCTGCAGAGGGAAAAATGAGCACGCAAAGAGTCCCATCAGGCGCGCGCGCTCACTTTTATCGGGAATTGCTTGACCCCCTCTGAAATTATCGGGAATTTCTTGACTCCCTCGGAAATTTTCAGGGATTTTCTTGACCCCCTCGGAAATTCTTAACAGGTAGTACCCCTTTAAGAAATTTTCTGAATTCCCCCTGCCCCTTCAGAAATTAATAAAAAATTTTGACCCATTGGAAATTAAAAAAAAATTTTGACCCCTTCAGCAATTTTCCGTTCATAACACCCCTCGGAAATTTGAACTTGGCACTGTAATGTTTTATAAAGCTTTATTGAGTAATATATAAGGACTTACACGCGGGACCGTCTAAACGGAGAGTTATGAAGTGTAGAGTTATCTCGGAGAGTTATGATTTAAGAGAGTTATGTTCGAACCACGCCCAAACCACGCCCACTTTCCCGAACGACCACACCCAATTCCTTAACTCTCCCGATATTTCCTTGAACTAACATGAGGGAGTTAATATAGATAATGGTCTAATTAATGGGGTTGTTTTCATTGATCTGAAAAAAGCCTTTGATACTATTGATCATCAGATAATTTTACAGAAATTAGAACATTATGGTATCGACCATAATAGTTTAAAATGGTTCGAATCATATCTTACTGGCAGAACACAAAAATGCAAAGTTAATGATCGGCTATCAGGTTGGACGTCAGTATAAGGTGCGGAATCCCACAAGGGATAATTTGGGTCCGTTACTTATCTATATTAACGACCTGCCAAATTGCCTCCACCACGCCACTCCTAGAATGTTTGCAGACGATACGAATGTAAGCTTTGCAGCTGATTCTCTGGAAGAGCTCCAAAGTGTCATTAATTCTGAATTAGAACGTCTTAAAAGCTGGCTTATTACAAATAAGCTCAGTTTAAATATTGCAAAAACAGAGTTTATGACAATTGGATCTCGACAGAGAATCAATGCTACTCAAGGTAGTATAACCATTAAGCTTGATGGTAGTGAAATCAACAAAGTCGATACTGTTAAATCCTTAGGAGTACATATTGACAAACACCTTTCTTGGTCAACCCATATAGAGAAAATAACTAAGAAAATTGC